CCCCCGCAGGGACAAGGCTGGCGGCTACGGCATCCAGGCGCTCGGGGGCATGCTGGTGGAGCGTATCAGCGGGGATTTCCTCAACGTGGTGGGCTTCCCGCTGAACCACTTCTGCAAAGAGCTGGCCACGCTGTACTGCCCACCTCCCCGCGAAGCCGTGGGGCGCGTCAAGCACGACTCCATCCCGTCCGTGGACACCTTCGAGACCCTAAGTGACGCAGAGGGCAGTGGCCCGCAGGAGGCTGCCTGCAACGGCCCGGTGGAGACCGCGCCCGCCTTTCCCGCGGAACTTCTGGATCTCATTGCGGGCTTCCAAGGCTCTAAGGTATTCCGAGCTGGGTTTCTGCCTGCAGGGGTCGCTGGGGCTGCAAAGGGCGCACACACCCGGCTGCGAAGAGGAAGACTTCAGGGCCTGGGCCACCAGCGGTGCCTCCAAGACAGGCCTAGAAACGCAGCCCACCAAGCAGTCGGCGTTCAATGGCTTCCAAGTCACAGCGCCCCTAGAGGACGGAGTGGAACTGCACACATGGCAGCCCTCCACCCCACCTCTCTTACAGAGCAGCTGGTGGGTTTGAACCGCTGACCTTGTGATTAGCACCTGAGCACTCAACCATTGAGCCACCAAGGCTCCTTAGCGAGGACAAGTAAACGGTGTCAGCAAAACTCAGCCACCGAGAACCCCGCGGGGCCGAGCTCCGCTCCGACAACAGGGGGCGCCTGCGCTGGGATTCGGACTCCGGGGACCGGTTTGCTGTTTCTCTGAGACTGATACCTGTGAGTCTGACGCAGCCCCTGGTTTTCGGCCAGGTCCTGTTCACCGCCTGCAACCTGAAGGTGTTCGACGTTCTGAAGGACGGAGCCGTCCTGACGGCCGCAGACATCGCCGGCAAAATCCGTGCCTCCGCGTGCGGAACGGAGTGGCTGCTGCACGCCTGCGCGGCGCTGGGGCTGCTGGAGAGAACCGAGCGAGGTGGGTCGGAGAGGGAGGGGGCAGGGAGCGGGGCGGGAGGAGCGACGCAGGGAGTGGG